CCCCCCCCCCCCCCCCCCCCCCCCCCCCCCCCCCCGGAAATACTACACTGGGATGCTCCTGGGGGGAAATGGCGAGAGAGCATTTATTCTACTGGCATATTACACAATAAAACGCAAAATTAATTTCAGTATCCCAAGTACGTGTATACAAATAAAGAGGTTTATCTAGACATTAGTGCAAATACAAGAGCACATGTTATATATGTTATATAAAGTCATTTTTACAGCTTCCAGAACCTTAAAACCAATACGCTTCCCAGCCTACGCAGAGACTCTTTGTCCTTTAACAAGTTTTCAGAAAGAGGAAGAGATCCTAACCTATTCTGGGTACCGGCAGGGCCACACGGATCACGGCGGTCTTGTTCGCCCGCTGATAGCAGCAGAGCAGGTTTATGAGGTCACAGTCGATACCGGCACTGGAGTTTCGCTTTTATCTGGCCAGCAGTCACCTAAAGCCATATCTCGCCCAATTTACCAGCAATCACACAGACACAGAGCACAGCAGGCTACACCACTGGTGAGTCTCTGTCAGCTTCATGCCATTAAAATACCTAATTTCGGGTCTCCCTGGTGAAGATACCTGGGGGGTGGGGGGCCAAGGTGACCTCGTTTGCAGCGACGTCCGCACTTGGCTCTCCTCGCGAGCCGCTGGGATACCCTGGAGCCCTTCTCCACAGCGGCACCTCTGCAGTCGGGAAACCTGAGACCCTCGTAACTCAATGAAGGCCGGAGTGTCCGGCCCCGGAGAGGGAACAGCTCGGTTCCTGCGATGGACACTCTGCGGCTGACGAGCACAGGACTGCTCGCAGCCACAATTAGCTACAATTAACCAACCCGGCATCTATTTACGCCTCTCGTGATGGACGATGCGGGAAGACGCCTCTCCGTTGAGACGAGTTCAGCCAGAGTCTTCATTTAAATGGTCATGAGGCTGCTGGCAGCTGTGAGGGCTTGGGGGGGGGGGGGGGGGGGGGGGGGGGGGGGTGCAGTGATGCTCAGTCTGACTCAGGCACATGCACACATGCATCACAGACGCAGCGAGCGCTGATCGCTGCGTAATTAGGCTCTTTCTATGTAATCATTAAGGACAAAGGATCTCCCAGGTTTCCACTGGCTCTGTGCCTACTCTGAGGTCTCCCAGCCCCCTGCGAAATTTGGGCACCGAACGACCTCTGCGAAACAGAAATCAGGCAGAAATGCGACCAGCTGACGCATCAGATAGACTATACTCATGCTCAGACTCCATGGACCTTCAAAGGTATTTTAGGTACACAGCTAAAGAATCACAAAACACCTACACAACATCCACCTCAAAGGCTCCATTAATCACAAGCCACTTCCAGATTTTTTTTTTAATCCAGCCCAGGTCAGATTTATATTACAGTATTCAGGAACTAAATGATTAGTGAGTTCATTTGACGCAGTGGGATAACTTGACAGTGAAGCAGTTTTCTGCACGGTCAGGGCTCAACTGCAGGGAGGCATTTCACTTATATTTCACATTTATTTAACAGGGCTTTTGGAATTTCGGCATTTTTGCAACTTGTGTGTAAAAGTGATGCCTCCAGAGATAATCAATCTGTATTCTTATTTAGGCACAACAATAAGTTAGATCTGTATGCTTCAGAGAGATCGCTCAAGCAGAGCTGAGTCAGACAGGGAAAGAGTGAAGGAAACTGTGTGCTTCACCCTATCTGGAACAATGAAGCAGGACCAAGCTGGTGTATGTGAAGGAGCCAGGGAACGTTACAATACAAGTGTAGAGTTTCAATTCATCATACAAGACCACGTTACCTCTGTTCTGCACAGATGAAACGACAACACGAAAGATAAAACGACGACCGGGGGCTCATTCAGCTCAGTTAATCCATTTAGTGACGTTTAGTGACATTTATGTGTTTTAATAGTTTGCCAGTGGCCCATGCAAGCCATTTCGGAGTAAGACGAGCTCCATTAAGTTAGGAAGAGACACCCGGGGGGGTGACGGAAGCAGTGAGGCGGTGACAGGTACTCCGGGCTGGACGCTCACATCCTCACTGCGCACAAACTGCTAAATCGGCCCCAGTCGGCCAGAGTCATCTCCCCCCGCGCTGCGTCTCCCGTTTTCCTGCGTCTCTCCCACGCCGGTCACCACCTGCTTTGTTTGCCAAGATCAACACGCAGATACAAAGCACACACACGGCTGTGTCCTTCGGTGGACGAGTGACAGCCATCCAGCCGGCCCAGAGCTAAGCAGTAAGGGCCACAGCAAGTTCAGGGCTCATTCATCACTCGGCTAACCATCAGCTAGCTAATATGTGCATGGATACTGCATGATGAAAAAGTGGGAATTTCATCAAATGTCACTGCAGTGAAGTCACAACACGACGGGCTTCTGAGATGTAATGCTTTTCCAGAAACACGCCTCACTGTTTACTACAGGGCAGGAAAATATGAGAATATCGTGACTGAGCGGAATAGCTTTGATTACAACACCTGAATATGTAATCGTAATGCATGAGGTGATTGATTAAATTACATTCCATGCAAATACAGTTCTTTCTCATTGCTCTGTGCACACATCTCCTACCTGCACAGGCCACTTAATTTCCCACGTTATAAAAACAGCGGAGAAGATTTATGGGCCGGAACGCCTGTATATAATCCACAGCAAGCCCGTACCGGGACGGATTTACAGCGCACACGTCTCCTCGTTAAGGGTTCACACCTCCCGGTAATTAAGTGGGGAGAGGCAGAGAAGCTGTACTGTGTGGAAAAGGGGTGATTTACGTGTGTTGAGGGCTGTCAGGAAGCTGCCAGCAGTGTGTGTTGCAGGGTACATAACAAACATTCGCCCCGGCTACAAATAAACGAGTGAGATTTAACAGTATAAAGAGAGAGAGGATGACACACTGTGGTCGGTCAACGGCCCGGCTAAGAGGTGGTGCATCATTAGCGTCAGCGTGCGCTGAATCAGGCCGCTGGAGTACAGCTAAGCTCCAGGGGGCGCTCCTCTTCTCTCTGCCCCACTCTTTATTACTCAGTTGAAGTAATAATTTGGATAGTAACTCACCTCAGCTGGTGATTCAGGTGCAAATCGGTCACTAATTAAAATGTTTTCTGAAACCCATAGATTGAGGCTCTTGAGGGGTTTGAGATTCCCCGCCCCTGATCCGAGTCGATAGTTTCATTAGCAGAACGGCCTCCCTGGTCCGACCCGGATCAATGACTAAATGGAGGCTTATTTCATGTTCTTTGTGAAATCCAGCCCGCCTTCCCGTAACGGTTGCCGCGCCGCTGGTCAGCCGTGGCGGCTCTCACCTGGGACAGGTGCTCTCCACTCCTCACCACCCCCTGGACGTGCAGCAGGTTCTTGGCCACGCCCACGCAGGGCAGGTCGGCCAGCACCCCGAGGTGGCAGGCCAATCCGAATTCTGCAAGGGAGACCGCATCATCGCTCGGAGGGCCGCCACACCCGTGACGGGAAACGCCCACCACATGCAAATCACTAACAATCAACCGTTACAATCAAGTTCACGTGGCATTTTCATTTTTTAACAGCTATACAAAGTGCACAGACGCTTTCTGATCATGTGACAGTGAGAGTCCTTCAGGGCTCATTTCCGGAATGCCGATCGATGCGAAACTGCGCGGGCGGCCCGCCTTTCCTGCTCTTTATTAATACCGCTGCCGTGTTCTCCGATACGACAACGACCTGAGAAAATACCCTCCTCCCACTGGGAGACACTGACAGCAGAACAAATAAAAGAGAGTGAAATAAACAGTCAGGACCAGGAGAGCATGAAGTGAGACAGAATGATAAAGCTGGCATTGCACAGCAGACACTAGAGACCCCCCCCCGTTCCTCCAGGCTGCTGTACACACTGACCTCTGTAATGAAACAATCCATTTCCGTCCACAAAAACGACCTTTGGAAACAAAGAAAACATTGATGGTGTTTAGCAGATCGACTCAGCAGAGAAGCCTCCTGCATCAGCACAGCTTATTAACTCATTTCATATCGTTTAATAATGAACACTCTCATAAGTGGTAGATGAGGCATAGAAGACACATGCTGCAACAGCGCCCTCTTGCTGTTATAAGGCGGCACTGCAAGCTTAACTAATACAGTTGTACATTTATATGGTCAGTAGTCACATACAAGCAAGGATAGCTTGTGGTCAGAGAACAGGGTCAGCCAGCATCCAGTATCCCTGGATCCGAGCTGCACAGCACCCCGGAAATGTCCGCCCGTGGCTCGGTTACTTGGGCCGCAGCCTCTGTCCACCCCCGGGCTACCCAGTGATAACGGCCGGGGCACCTGGGGCATCAGACTCGGCTTGTCCCTCTCCAGGCGCCGTAAGGCTTCCAGCAGGTGCGGCGTCTCGCGGAAGGCCAGGAAGCCGGCGATGTAAGGAGTGCTGAGGGTTACCATCTGACTGTCGGCGTACAGCACCTGGCAGACAGGCGGCAAAAATAAAACACCGCAAGCAGCCGATGCGGAATGGCAACGTTATGTCAAGTACGTACCAAGATGTCACAGGGAAAGAAACACAGGTGGAGAAGTAGGGCTCTCTCTCAATCTGAGATTTCATCACAATAGTGGCAGGAAGCTTCCTTATTCCGTCTAGGGGGAAGCATCAATGAAGTGCCAGGAGTACGGTTTGTTTGAAAGAGTGAGCGCAAAGAGAGTCTGATATTTCTACAAACATCACAGAGTGTCTGACAGTTAAGCGGAGTTACACACAGTTTCCTTCAGAGTAACAGCGACTGGGAGTGCGATAAACTTGCACCGCGACGCCCTTATTCTCACGTATTAATTTTATGACCTTACTTGCCAAAAAACTGTGGAAAAACAATATAAAACTCTTTACAGCATCGACTACATCTTAATCCATTATATAATGCTACGTAATAACAGCCAATTTTTACTCTGCTAAAATGTGAAGTCCTGTCTTTTCTTGTCCCTTTGCAGCTATCAAAAGCGAGTTCCTCTGATGGTCAGTATCTCAGAGATCGGTGTATTCTGCCCTCAGAGACACGGCGCTGTACTCTGATCTATGGCAACCCAGTTTACCCCAAAGATACACAGTTTCCACAGAGTAGGAAACTGTAGAATGGAGAGATGAGTAACACAATAATCCAATGTTTCTCGATCCGCTCCTCGGGGAACCACAGGCAGTCCACGTTTTTGCTCCCTCTCTGTAAAAACATGGGACTGTCTGTGGGTCCCCAAGGACGGGATTGGGAGAAAGGCAATCCCACTAGAAGGCTTGCATTTCATACTTTCATTTACACTATAAGGCTCTCAGGAATGCTTGCGACTGTACGACCGACCTCCAGCTGCGGGTAGCTCAGCACCGTCAGCTGGGCGCAGGCCTTGACGTCGTCTCCCTTGATGAAGGACAGATCCACGCCGCCGACTCTCTGCAGCCCCTTGAAGCCGCTCGCCCGCTGCCACTCCTCTGTGTCGCGCTCCAGCACCTGCTGCTTCAGATTCTCCTGCTCACTAAAGCAAAGAGTGCAGGTGTTACTGCCCTTGAACAGCACACTCCCCTCTAAGATAACCAAAGGCTGCTTTAATGGACAGGGAAGCGCATTCGCCAGACTTACAGTTTACAGACTTCCTCAATCCTTTAACAGTCCATAAAAAGTGCTTTAAAATGCTTCTTGGTTACCATGGTCACAAACAATAACCCATGACCCTATAATATAAATAAACACGCCTATAATATAAAAACTTTCACAGTATATCAATGTAATTCGGCAGCGGTCATTTGACCTTAGTTTAATAATGATGATTTCACAGTTTTTAATAGCGAATCAGCGCATGGGTATCAAATCACGCCGGTATTTTTGGCTCATTCTGGGGGAATGAAAAACAAGATCAGGGCAACAAACTTCAAAGTGTGAAACTCAAACGCCCTCCTGTAGGTCGCGAAGAGCCCAGAGAGCAGTGCAGGCTGCCAGGGGACCAATTTCATCTTCGTAGCACTGTTCCGGTGGGGGTACCCCCCGTTCCTGGGAACTTCCTGATAAGCGGCACTATGTTTAGAGCAGACAGACTGGATGATCGCCGCAGAGCAGACGGTGAAAGGATGAAGCGCACAGCAAGAGAGAAGGCACCAGAGCCAGTGCAAAGCCACACTCTGCCGGCCCTCACTGCATCTTCCCCAGTGGGCATCTGCCTCCGGTATAACACTGGGAAAGGGGACCATGACGGGAAATCAGATAAACCTTAGCGGGGTGCTCTCCCCAGATTAAAAAACTGCTGCTCTGTTAGCATTTAGCAGGCCGCTGCTCTCCCGCAGCTACAGGGAGAAAGGTCTCCCAGCATCCTCTCTGCTTTCCAGGCTATTAACAAGAAGCCTCAGGAGGCCACAGTGCTTCCCCACCACAGCACTGAGGCTCAGCGGACACCGGAGGCAATAGATCACTCCGGAAGCCTCTCCCAAACGCCCCGGCCCTTAGATGCATTATAAATAAGCTGAAACAATTAAATGGACTCTTCTGACGGGCAGAGACTCTGTAGAGGATGTCACAAGAACGCGATGGCAAGTAGAGACGTCTTCAAACGGCAGGGCGGTTCCTTGGTATCCAGCAGTGTAGTGATTAAAGAACTAGAAGGTTTACATCCCAAGCCGTTGCTGTTCTACTCTACTTGAATTCCATCCTTCCATCCATCCATCCATCCATCTTCCAACTGTTTATCCACTACGGTGTCATGGGAAGTGCACAGGACACCGTTTCTGTAGAACAATCTGGTGCATGTATGAGTAACATAGCAGGAAAATGCACTGTGGGTAGCCTAGGAGTTACACCCATGGATTGTAACATGAAGGCCTCAGGTAGCAAGTGGTGGCCCGCCGTTGTATTCTTAATAAGGGCATATAATCTGACTTGTTTCTTTTTCAAGGATTTAATTCCCACCTTGATAGGTTGAGTGAGGAAGCTAGGAGGCCTTTATTAGGCTTCAGAGACTAGGCAGCATGCTCTCTGCATGTGTGTTGTCACGACACATACACGACATTCCCGCCCCCGCCGTCAGCAGCTGGAAGCTGATTGGTCTTCACAGTTCTGATGTATGGTTGGACAGATTAACTACAAACGTGGGTAAAGGGGTAAGAGGGGAAAAAATACACCTTATACGATTTTATCGGGAGGTAACAGATTTGTTCCAGCAAGCAGGAATATGAATCCAGTATATGAAAATTAGTCTATATATTCGTATATGCTCACTGCTTTTTGACAGCTTAATACTGAAAATGTTCAGAAAGAGATCCTCAATAGTGAGGAATCTGAAATCACGACACTGGGAAGTCTTTTATCTGCTGGGGGGGAAAAATTAGCTACTGGATGAATATTTTAAAAGGAAAGGAGTGTGACTCGGCTTGATACCGCAGTGGGAGGGGGAGACTCTGGAAACAGGTTTATGGGGGGGGTCTTGTGGGCTTTTCATGCAATCTTGGCACATAATATATGTTCCGATAGCATGTTCATCCCCAAGTTTCTTACCGACATCAGATAAGGACAAAGACCTTCACTTTAATAATGACTGGACTCGTTTCACAATAACTGCTGTTTTACATCCCATTCACCTGAAGAAACATCCCATATCGGAAACTTTAACAGCATAAATGTTTGTCTCAACAGACAGGCTATTCTAACTTTCAAGTAAGTCTCAGGTAACACTCTTCTTGCCCTGATTTCAACTGTTTGACTGAAAAGTTATTCAGTCCAGTCTTGATCTACAGGGGCAGTGTGTGGCTCAGTGGGCTAAGCCTGTGTACCTCTAATCAGAAGGTTGCCAGTTCAAACCCAGCCTCAGCACATTTGCAAGTCCTTGAGCCAGGCCCTTAACCCCCAGCTCCCTGGGTGGTGCTATGGGTGGCTGCCCTTTGCAGACAACTTACTCTACAAAGAGTAATTTGCCCATGGGAATTAATGAAGTATCATTTGCTATCTTTAATTTCAAGCTTATTTCAAACATAACTGAAGTGCAATCATTTCTATTGCTGATCATCTGTCTACAATTTAGTCCAAGGTTCCCCAGTTCTGGTCCTGGATGGGCAGAACCCAACACAGTCAGTAGATTTCCCTGCTCATGAACTCCTATGAAACCTGGTCATTAGCTGATCAAGATGTGTCTGAGCAGGGAAATCTGCAAATTGTGTTGGATTCTGACCCACCAGTACTGGAACTGGGGAACCCTGATTTAGTCCCTCCTATTTAAACTCCCTCCTACCTAATTAATCTATACAGTATATTATTAAGTTATTCAGATAACCATCCATGAATTAAGTTGGTTAGTCTGGAACAGGTTAAAACATTGAAATTGTCTGAATAGTTCCTTCTCCATAGTTAATGCTACACAGAATCATTAACTCAGCAAAAATTAAATGGATTTTTTGGTAAACATTCGAGCTGAAGACTTACACTTCATAAATTCATCATTACTCACAAGTATTAGTATAGTTACTGTTTCCAACACAAACCAATATATCATAAAGCAGTTCAGCTTTCCCAATACTTAGGTAATTTGAAGTTATGATGTAATTAAGATTAGGAATTATACATTTTTCATGCCACACCACAGTTGATATAAGGCACATACTTTAATCTCGCTACTTCATATGACGATAAACATGCACTAAACTGCTCTTGAGATCTGTAGGGCGTCAGCAGAGTGTAAATAGGTCTTGGGTCATTCTACAGAAACGTCCACTTTTCTGTCCCTAGACTTTAAAGGATGGTTGCATTTTAAAAACACTTAATTATATTTTAAAATAAAACAATAAGTTATTTGAACAATTACACCTTTTTGAACCATCAATGTGTCAGTATTTCTTTTTAATCATTTTAGTAAATTTCCAAGTACCCCCAAAAATGCCCGCCCCCACTGTCATTCTGAGAAACTGAGGGCCCTATTCTGAAATCAAAAACATTTTTTTTTAGTAGTTAAGCTGCCATAATATATGCATAACTGTCACATATATCATATACATGACTTAAAAATACAAAATGTAAAATAAATATTATAAAATACATGATAAAAGTCTACGTCCCCTGTAGTCACGTCACTGGTGTTATTATGTGTGTTTTCAGGAACATTACATTAAACATGTCAAATCTGTCATGATAATGATTTTATATTTATTTTATTTTGCTGTACTCAAGAGTTCACATTGAAAGAATTTCATCATTACTTGTTTATAAATGTTTTTGATAATATTTTAAATTTTACAGCAAATACATGGTTGCGAAACTGAAGAAACATCATTCAAACACAATTTTAACAAATGTTATTTAAATAAATAAAATAATTATCTCCTGTTTATTTGCCTCATCATTGTTGTACTGTATCTCTGATTACATGTGCAAGAGAAGTAGAGAAATAATTTTTCATAAAAATTGTTATTATTACCAAAGAAGGAAGGTAACACCAGTGACAAATAGACTGTCCATGAAATCTTTAAATAAATGCACAGAAAAGGAAAAAAATCATTAAGGTGTACCTTATGTGTATTCTTATAGCCAATTAGTAAAGTAATAATGTGGCATAAGTTTAAATACTAGAAAAAGAAAAACATTTTCAGGTATCCTGCCATGTCAAAAGTGGACGTTTCTGTAGAATGACCCTCTTGCATTAGTTTTAGTAGTATAGAGATGGAAATCATGATTGTGCTTTTGGGTCTATTCAGTTTAAAGATTTGTTCACATGCCCCCTTTAATAATTTTCAGCCCCATTAATATATTTCACGCGGATGGAGGGGGGAGTCCCCATTTTTCTTTGATAATGACTATTAAACCGATACCTGGCGAACTGGTACAGTCTGGAGAATCATTGAAAAAACTGAGCAATAATTCACAGAATGAACCGAAGAGTCATTGAAGGAACCGAATAATGACTCACTGAACGGACCGACCGAATCAGTGCAGTGATTGCAGCAATTTCGTTCACTAAAAAGTTTAGTTCAGAAAGAATAATTAGGCGACACATATGCTACCGGTTTATACAACCAGAGACCAACCTGGACGCTCGAAACGGGCTACTCCAGCCTGGTCAAACCACCACCGCATTACCCGGTACAAATTTACAGGCACCGGAAGGGCGGCTGAGAGCAGGCTAACAGCAGGCGGGCTTTGGATACCGTGGCTGTTTTCGGCTTTTTGCGAGAAGCAGCCGGGTAGAACAGAGAGTAAAGACCGCAGTGATTAAACAGTACAAAACAGTGTCAAAAGTGAAACTACCCAGCTAGCGACAGTACTATTTAAACGCCATGGCAGGCGGTGCAGATTCCGCTTACAAATACATTTTGATCATTTTGTAACATAAACAGTTAAAATTATGGACTTCGGACAAGTAATCTTGAAAGCGTCATACGTCATTCCCTAACCTGGTCACCGTATATGCTTAGATATTGAGATATACCGGGTGAAAGCAGGCACTAATACTGCATATGTAGATGTTTCTTAGCTAGCTGTCTGTCTGCTTATTAAATGTTTCTAACCTTTCCCACATCTTGATCAATTCGTCTTGCGGAAGGACCGACATTTACTTGAATGAAATTAGCCCCAAAGACAAGCGATCGCGGTGCATTAGCTTCGAGAGCGGCGCCTTCTCGCTGCAGCTGACAGCTCAAAGTCCATCAAGGCGAGTGACATCCGCATTGACCAATCAGACGCCGGGCTTCAAATTGGTCCCCGTAACTCCTTCAGTTCATTGGACGATGACGGAACAAACGCACGACTACGTTCATTTCTTAGAGTACGTATAAAATTAGACTAAGATCGCAAAGCGGGCCAGATTGCCACGCAAACTGAAAGTTTTATGTGCATCTTACGTAATTTTCAAATTTTAAATATTATAAAGGGTGAAACATCGTCTGGAGAAATGATGAGTAAGTGTTGCCCGATGTTCTTTATATTTTAGGAAGCATGGGAAATTGGGCAGGTAATAACTGTTAGTCTGCTTGGCTAAACATCCCCACCTAGTGGATCAAAAAAGAAAGCACATTTGTTAGAAATCACTTTGAAGGACTGAAATGTACTGATAGGGCGGCATGGTGGTGCAGTGGTTAGCGCTGTTGCCTCACACCTCTGGGAGTCTTCGAGTGTCCGCCTGAGTCACATGTGTGTGGAGTTTGCATGTTCTCCCCGTGTCGTCATGGGGTTTCCTCCGGGTGCTCCTGTTTCCCCCCACAGTCCAAAGACATGCTAAGGCTAATTGATGTTGCTAAATTGCCCATAGGTGTGCATGTGTGAGTGAATGGTGTGTGAGTGTGCCCTGCGATGGGCTGGCCCCAGTCCAGGGTTGTTCCCTGCCTCGAGCCCGTTGCTTCCGCGATTGGCTTACTCCGCGACCCAGTAGGACAGTGACTGATGGATTCATGCATAAAGAACTCAAACTGCGCATTCGGAATCAGTTAAATAGTTTTAAACAAAAATAAGCTGTACTTTTGAATCTGTACTCAAACTTTACACAAACAAACAAAGATATGCAGTATCATCAAAAAAACAAATGATGAATTGTAAATGGAAGACCAGACAGGACGATGTTACAAGAGGGCAGAAAAGACACAATAGCCCTAATCTTTAAGTGACACAAGAACATTGTCATAGATGTCAATACAAATATCAGAGCAGTTATCCAGTTCTCTGCCATTAGCACAGATTGGCTTACTTGACATTTGGTGTACTTAAAAGACTGAATTAAGTACATGTCTTTTACATGAAAAATTACAAATTGCTTCACAAGATAGTGATACTGTGTAGCACGTGTGAAAAGAGAAGTGGGAGAGGGGTGCAAAGAGGTGGGGGTGAATCATTCTCCAAAACCTTTAAAATAATGGGGGAACCACTAATCCTCAGCACACACATGTGCTTAAAACCCAAAAATGATGCATATTATAGTGAAATTGCCAAATATATAAAAAAAAATGCTGCATGAAAACACATTATTTAAAGAAAATGAAGGAGAATATTCAACAGACCCTGTTCTCCCTCTTAAAAAACAACAGAGACATTTTACATATTTCCAGACTGGTAGTTTTGGCCACATTAGAGATGGGACTCGAGTTTGATGATTTGACATGGAATGACCCAATACAGTATGTATATAGTGGAATAATACAATCACTGTGAAATGATGTACAATCATTTTTTTATATTATATTCACCACTGACTGGACTTACATTTCTGTACACATATATATATATATATTGTTTTGTAATTTGTGTCTGTCCTGTGCTGCCTTATGCTGTCTTACTTACTTCTGAGTAAAAAGTGAAATTTTGTTGTAATATCCATATGTTGTCTATGTGCACTTGTCTTTTTATATCTGCACATTGAGCCTGGAGATACACAATTTCATGCAGCTATGCATCCGTTGTTGTACTGTTGTATGGTGTGAATGACAAAGTTCACTTACTTGCTTAATTATATTACCCTTACCAGGACCTGAATGGTCCCTCACTAGGTGTGATGCCTTGTGTTACCACCAGAGGGTACTGGTGCTCCTGGGCGGAAGCTACTTTCTAATGCCAGAGAAAACTTATCTGACAGTGTCTCATGAAACGGACGATGACGTGACCTTCAAAAGGAATGGGAAACACTAAGTGCAGATGTTGAAGTGCACTGCTAGGACAGTTCGTGCCAGACTCCTGGAAGCAGAACCAATGTCCCATAAAGCAAGGAAGAAGCCCTTCATCAATGAGAAACAGAAAAGAACCAGGCTGCAGTTTGCACGCACACACACACACACACAGAGTCATGTAATCATATCTTTTTCTGGAGCGCTCATTCACACACACACACATATAGACACACACACACACTATATTGCCAAAAGTATTGGGACCCCCACACCAGACTCGCTCATCCATGTCCTTATGGACCTTGCTTTGTACACTGGTGCACAGTAATGTTGGAACGGGAAGGGACCATCACCAAACTGTTCCCACAAAGTTGGGAGCATCAAATTGTCCAAAATGGCTTTGAATGCTGTAGCATTAAGAGTCCCTTTCACTGGAACTAAGGGGCCAAGTCATGGGTGTAAATTATGGGGGGGTTGTAGCCCCCCCCCAATAAATCAAAACCAGCTAATACAACAGCCCAAAAATCATGTTTCCCCCGTAATGGGTGGAGACCTCAACCCCGCCAATGTTCCAGCCAAAGTTATGCCCTTGGGCCAAGCCCAACACCTGAAAAACAACCCCACACCATAATCCCTCCTCCACCAAACTTTACATTTGGCACAATGCAACCAGGCAAGTACTGTTCTTCTGGAAACCGCCAAACCCAGACTCGTCCATCAGATTGCCAGACGGGGAGGCGTGATTCATCACTCCAGAGAACACATCTCCACTGCTCTAGAGTCTAGTGCAGGGGTGGCCAATCTTATCCGCAAAGGGCCGGTGTGTATGCAGGTTTTTGGAATAACCTGTAGGTCAGCTGTTCAAACCCAGGTGTGAGGACTCTTCAGCCAATCAGTCCTCTAATTAGTAATCTAATTAGGGAGTTGCAGTGAAAACCCGCATACACACCGGCCCTTTGCGGATAAGATTGGCCACCCCTGGTCTAGTGGTAGTATGCTTTACACCGCTGCATCTGATGATTTGCATTGCACTTCATGTAAGGCTTGGATGCAGCTGCTCGGCCATGGAAACCCATTCCATGAAGTCCTCTATGCACTGTTCTTGAGCTAATCTGAAGGCCACACAAAGAAAGATGGGACACTCGTGCAGTGTGAAAGGCTGCGAATATCAACTTTAGAAGACAAAAAATGCATATTCAGTAATATTACATAAACAAAAAACATCTTAGTTGCCTTTATGAAAATGCCGAGAGCAAACACGCATGAAGGGAGATATCGCATTGAAAGTGATCTTCAGTCTCACCGCTGCAACCCAGGCCACGCGACGCCTCTTCGCTCCCCCCTCCATCCGCGTGAAATATATTAATGGGGCTGAAAATGCGGTCTTTCTGCAGTCCATATCCTCTTTTCCAAGTGGGAAACCGAAAAAATCTCATGTTCTGGTCCACCTTTCTGCTATTTCTACCATGTGATTTAGTATGACAGCCTTTCACACTGCACGAGTGAGTATCCCATCTTACCAAAGATAATAAAGGACGCAAATGCTCGCTCTTGCGTTGTATAAAACCAAAATGGCGATTTGACCCACAATACACTGCGGCTATAGCGAGTGTGACGTCAGCGGACAAAGACCGATTGAGTGGACCTGCTGGCTGGGCCAAAAGCACAAGGATGGACCACTTGGACGTTTGTTACATGACATCAGAAAGCAATACCCTGTGTAAATAGTTTTAATGGGGTGGATGTGTAATCAATGTAAAGTAATTTGATTTAAAAAATTAAGTTGTGATGTTAATACACATCCACTTTTCAAGCAAGAAAAGTCCAGGCTGGTGCTCGAGCTAAGGGAATCCACCGACCAGTCAGTGAGGAATGCCAACGCCATGGTTTCCACTGGCCGGAAGTGGAACGCCCAAGCGGAGGTTGACCAAGCCGTCAGCAGGCTGCAACACCAGGAGATCATGGGCAGAGTCCAGGTCGGAAGAGCAGGGCTAGGATGGGGAGAAGCGCCACGGTTCTGGTCCAAGGCTAACCGCAAGGAGAGGAAGGAGATGGTGGTGGCAGAGGTGTCGAGGACAGAGGAAGAGCGCTATAAGATCAAGGCCATGTCGCAGGGCCGACAAGGAGGCTGGACGACTTGGGAGGGAGTCGTCAGCCGGAACATCAGTTGGTCGGATCTGTGGAGGATCCCACAGGCAAGGATTAGCTTCCTGATTCGAGCAACTTACGACACGCTTCCCTGTCCTCGTAACCTCAACCAGTGGTTTGGGAATGAGGAAAGTTGCGCACTCTGCAACGCGCCCAACGCAAGTCTCCAACACATCTTGTCAGGCTGCAAGATCGCACTCTCTCAGGGGCGCTATAGGTGGCGCCACGACCAAGTCCTGAGGAAATTGGCTGAGGTGCTGGAGGGGCGTCGACAGGGCAGCACAGGCCCACCACTATCAGAGGACTGCATCAGCTTCGTCACGGAAGGGGGGGGACAGAGTTACATCA